TTTATGTTCACAAGAGTCAATCTGATTAGTCCCGCAGCTAACTATCAGGCACGAGGGACCTTTTGTAGTTAATGCGATCGTGTAAAACATACACAAAACATGGACCTGTGGCTTTTTAAAATTAATTACGGTGAAGTTAACACCGGTAAACCGTCTGACAAAAAAGATGACGAGTGCCCTTCTGAAGCATTAAAGCAATAGGATGACCAACCCTCCGCGTCAACGGGGATCTCCACACAGAGAGGATTAACGCTCATTACAAAAACCAAAGGCCTGTGTGCATCAAAGCAACGGAAGTATGATGAACAGTACATACAATACGATTAATATCGAACCATGTCCACAATGTGTTGTGTGTTCAGAGGTCCTTGCAAATGACAGTTTAAAACCTATGAAACTGGTGCGTCACTTACAGAAGAAACATCCGATGTTAAAAGATAAGCCAGTCGACTTTTTTCGATGTAAAGAATAAGCATTAAGAAGACAAAAACAAACGATGACCAGTCAAACCATGCTGCCAGTAAAAGCGCTTACTGCTTCATATGCCAAATAGCCACATACATTTCCAGAGAGCCTCATATCTCCAGCTGCAAAGAACATCTGTAGAACTGTTTGGAGAGAAGTATGTAAGTAACATTGAACAAATTCCTCTACCAGACAACACCATAAGCCGGCGTATAACTGATATGGCATGAGACTTCAAACGTCAGCTGATTAGAAGAATAAAGAATGGGATTTATTTTTTATTACAATTAGTTGAGTCGACAGACATATCAAACTCATCTCAACTACTTGTATTCGTCAACTAGAGTCATGAGAGAAAATTGCTTGAGGATCTACTATTTTGCTCATCAATGAAAAGACGTTTACAGGAAAAGATATTTTAGAAAACCTCAGCGGTCAACTGAATGAACTTGGTCTTTGTTGGGACAATTGTGTCGGTGTGTACACTGATGGAGCGGGATCCATGTTAGAAAAAAAATAAAGGACTCGCTGCTTTGGTTCATGAAGTAGCTCCGCATGTTTGTTTCACCCACTGTATGATTCGCAGAGAGGTTCTCGCAGCAAAAACACTTCCTGCGGACATGAACGCAGTGCTTCAAACAGCAATACAGATTGTGAATTTCATAAAGACTTGTCCCACTAAATCAAGACTGTTTGCTTTGTTGTGCATAGAAATGGGGTCCGAATATGAGTCGTTGCTTTTGCACAAGGAGGTTAGATGGCTCTCCACAGGCAAAGTCCTGCAGAATATTTTTTCATTGCATGACGAACTGAGGATTGATTGTGGATCTTCCTTTAGGAGTTATTTTACTGACGCTAAGTGGCTCACAGATCTTACATACCTGTCTGACATATTTGATAGGCTTAATTCGCTTAATTTGTCCCTTCAAGGCCCGTATTCAAACCTACTAACAATGTCTGATAAAATTGTGGGCTTTGTGAAGAAACTGGAGCGATGGAGAGGGCAGGTGGATGCAAGAAATCTAGACATGTTCCTGACCTTGGATGAATTTATCACAGAAAATATGTTTAACTGGGATACTACTAAAACGGAAATCACTCTCCATCTGCCATCTCTGTCTGCACATTTCAATAGGTATTTTTCTGAGCAGCATAATTGGAACCGGTACGTCTGGGTTCGTAAAGTTTACGAAGCGCTAGATTCCCTTCTGCATTTTTCTAGTGACCTGTACTTTGAAGACACTATTCGACTCAACCACACTCAGAAGTCTGGCTGGCAGTGGATACAGAATATGCTGAACTTTCGGAACTTGAAATTGATGTACTCTTGCCTTTTGCTTCAACTTGGCTCTGCGAAGCAGCATTTTCTGTGTGTACGTACATCAAAAACAGACTCATGTATCACACTGAATCAGGTAAGATACATGTTTATGATTCAGTGTAATTATTATATGCACTTTAAACGCAGCAAATAATATGGGAGTGATGTTTGCACATGCTTTATAATTTTGGCTCGCTGGACGAAAAGGGAGGGTGCGCGAGTGAAATTGGACAAACTTGGGGGGGCGTGTGTCCTGAAAGTTTGAAAACCCCTGCTAGAGGCTGTCGAAAAGTGGAGACATTTCCTGGAGCCAAAACTCTTCATTATTGTCACTGATCATTCCACTCTTCAGTAGGTCATGAACTCCACGAAGACCACCTCACGTTTAATCCGCTGGCCCCTTCGTCTTCAAAAATTTGACTTTGTGGTTGAGTACAGAAAGGGAACACTGAATGAAGCACCAGGTGCTTTTATCTTGCATTCATCCCTTACCTGGTTGTCGTGTATTCAGCTATAAAAGAACTAGTATTTCCCATCACCATTGCAGAAATCTGGGAAGAGCAACACAAAGAACCAGATATAATCAAGATATTGCAGAACCTAGCAGATAAAGATTCTACTATGCATGAGCAGTTTGGGGTATTTTATGACAAGTTATATTATTGTTTCCTGTTGAAAGATAAACTCAAACACTACAGAATATATAAATTAGGGATGTGCGGAGCAGCCGGTATTTGTATTTGTTGAGGGGGGAAAAGTATTTGTATTTGTATTCGAGTAAAATTCAAAATGGCGCAAAAATATATATTTTTTCTATTACACTTCTAATTTACGTTATAGTGAAAGTATTGTTTAATTATACCCATTATATAAATTATAGATATGCAATATTGGCTGTTGTTTTTGAACATGTGATAAGAAATGTCATTGAAAAGAAAATAACATAGAAGCCATTATCTCATCCATGGTTAAACCAACAACTAATAAAATACCATTGTGAATATTATGAACCCCACCACCACCGTTCTTGTTGAAGGACACTGAATAGACAGAATAAAAACAAATAATACTTCAAAAAACTGTTCTTCTTCAGAAAGAACTTCTTTCCAATGGACAGAATTCCAAAAACTAATATTAACTAAATCAATCTAAATAAAACCCTGCCTGGGAGATCTGGCAGAACAAAAGTATTCTATATAATACTAAAAGATACAGCCCTGCTATTATCATCTGCCAGCCACAAAAAAAGACACAAAGTTTGTTTGTTTGTTTTTTTATGTTTGAAACTGACTTGCTGGGGCAGAATGTGGCTGTGTTGATGCTTTTAGTGCATGTGATAATACATTACATAGAAGGTTGCGCGGTGCTCTGTTCAGTGAGAAGCGCTCTCTATGGCAAGCCTTTTTAGCATTTAAATCTTTGTTCTGACTCCATAAATATATTAGAGATATCTCTAATTATATTTTGACTAGTCATAATTATAATTCCACTACTCAGAATGACAATTAGAGATATCTGCAATTACAATTGTACTAGTACGAAATCAGATGTATTTTGACTAGTAACAATTGTAATTGATATCTCTGAGTTTTTACTAGTCATAATACATTTAGAGATATCTTTAATTCATCATATTTAGAGATATTTACAAATATATTTGAAGATATCTGTAATTAATTTACTAAAAGTCTAATTACAGTTGTAGATATCTTGAATTGGATTTTTTACTAGTCAAAATTCATTTGGAGATATATCTAATTACAATTGTGACTAGTCAACTTATTTAGAGATATCTACAAATATTTTTCAATGGAAGTCAATGGAGGAATATGACTAGTCTATCATAATATATTTGCAGATATTTCCAATCTGACTAGTCGAATTATAATTATGACAAGTCAAAATATAATTAGAGATATCTCTAAATATATTTATGGATAGTCTGAACAAGGTTTAAATGCTAAAACGGCTTGCCATACGCTCTCACCCAGTAGCACAGTGGAGAGTTCTCTAGTTATATCCTTTCAGTCGTTTGATATGCAGTGACATGCAGTCAAATATTTCGCCAAACAGTCCTTAGGGATGCGGTGACACACTCAGATATTTTACCGGACAGATCCGCCACTTTTGGCGCGCATAAACAATCATAAAGCTCTCGTGCTGCAGGAATGAGGAGGTCTGCTGAAGGCGCGCAGCTGACGTGCTGTGAGAGGTTTGCGTCTTTAATAAACTACGGCAGTTTGCGATCACCGAACAGTAAGAATGATTAATAAATCCATATGAAACAACCCCTTAAAAGTCACGTCTCGCTTTCAGTTTCGGGCTTTGGCGCGTTTTGCCTCTCTCTCTCTCTCTCTCTCTCTCTCTCTCTCTCTCTCACGTGGGCATGCACTGTGGTCTCATGAGGAAACGCTGCTTTTTGATATAGTGTTTTTCTTGCTCCCGAATACAAATAATTTTTCAAGTATTTGTTCGAATCAAGTATTCGTAAAAACACGCTATTCGTGCCTTTCCGAATACCGTATTCGGGTTCGGCTCCACCCTTACTCTATATACAAATACACTTTTTAAACTTTTCATTTGCACCAAGACTCGCGACAACTTCATCCAATGCTGCTTCTTTAACCTGCAAATGTTTTTTTTTCAAATTTTATAGATCAAATAGTACTGTATGCTTCTCAAGCTCTATGAGAAGTGTCTACAGTCAGAAGACAATCGCCTGTGATATCATGTCGTTTGTTTTTTGATTGTCAGGTTGTTGTAGGCCTAGTTATAACAATATTTATACAATATAGTTATAATGATATTTATACATTGTTAGGACTGCGTTGTTTTGTTTGTGTTTGATTTTTGATTCTAGATTGGGGGCGTGCCTTCAGCGCACCTGATGCTGGTCAGCGCCCTTATTTAAACCCCGGCAGAGAGTTTGTTTAGTTTGTCGCTGTCTATACACTTGGCAGTTCGCCAGAGCCACGCTCCTTTTTGGGCATTATGCTTTCTTTCGCATCCATACACTATCACTGACTACATTTACCTCATCCATTCATTTGCATTTCACACTGATTAAACATACTGATACTGATATTTTGATTATATAATTTAAATTGAGTTAAATAAATATTCTTTTTGATTATACTTCTCCTTGTCGTCTCCCTTATTATGTTACATCCTTGAGCCAGGTGTAACAACATGATCAAACTAGTGTTACTTTCTCTGCTTTAGTGATGTCCAGCGGCAGAATAACAGCTCGTTAATTCATGCTTGTGCAGTTGATGAGACGGAGAAAAGTAATTAATGTATGCACTTCTTTTACTTATTTTTATGTTGTCAGGTTCACAGTGCAAACAGCTCCCGGTGGGAATAACTTGAGTGAACATAAAACAAAGCCGAAGCTCTGCTTGAGCAGCACTGCACACAGCGAGCTCACATCATCCAGCTTGCGTGTCGAACTACACTACCCACAATACACTTCGCTATGGACTACAACTCCCTTAAATATTCTATTTCCCCTCCTGAAACACTAGCGTGCAAATTAAGCTAAACTGATACTAAAATTGTTTTACATTTGGTTTTGTAGTTCGGGCCAAAATAATGTTTGTTGCCGTTTTTAATCGTTTAGGTTCATTTGATCGTGTAACCCTCGATACACAAATGTATTATAAGCTGTTAATCAATTGACCATATGCTCAGAAGTCTAAATTTCTCCAAAGAGAGAGAAGATACAACAACAGTGAAGGACTCGGACACAGAGGTAAGAATAATAAAAGATTGTATTGTAAAACTTTCACAGAAATATAAAATAAAATAAATAATAAATATAAATAAAACAAATTCTAGGCTTGTTTCACACTCATCTAATGACCTCAGTCTTATTTACACTCTCTAATAACACTTCTCTTTCTTCACAGGGTTTTTGGCTGTATCACTAATAAGGTAAGTTAATATTATGTTATTTTTCTGTTTTTCTATTGTTAAGGTCTAATATTATATTTTGGTTACTATTATAAATAATAATATAATACTACTATACTAATAACAATACTATATTAAAGGTTTATAAGTGTAAGTTAATAATACAACACTAAAATTGTTTTATTATTCAATATATAATCAAGATTTCCCTTCTTAAACCAATTAACTTCTCTCTATAAAGCTTCAAAAATTGCAACAAATGAACACTCCAATGAAACAATGTACAAATAAAATAAAAATGAAAATAAAACATTCACTTAAAACATTTCAAAATGTCCCAAAAGTCCAGTACAGGTGATGAACACTCAAAAAGATTCTTTTGCAAAACAACTAGGTTGCAAATTCAGTTCCAGAGATCCAGGATGTTGCACTTGTGAGTGTGTTGTAAATTTACACTCCTACCATGACGCTGAATAGGTTTCACTTTGTATCTTTCCAACAGGTGTATCCAAAGAATCCACTTAATGGGAGGCTCGCCAGTCCAACTCCACAATTAGACACGCACCGATGGAAGTTGAGACAATCCAAATCCAGAAAAGAGTTCACACTTCAATTAATTTGAATCCAGAGCAAATCACATTTAGCAACTGACTTCAATAGAACATCTCACCGATGAAAAACCAGAAGAAGATGCACAAGCAAACAAACAAAGGGGGAAAAAAAAACATTAGCATTTTACAGTGTATGCATTATCTCAGCTTAACATAATTGTAAATAAACAGCAACAATAAATGACCATGTATATGCTTCTCTCTGCTGAATTTCTGTGTTTTTCCTATTTCTTTCACCTATTTGGCATTTTCTTTTTACAAATGACAGCATTTTACTTAAACTCTCTCACTTAAACTTTACACAATCACTTGTATAATACTGTGTATAATACTGTGTTTTCACTAGACCAAACAAATTGTTAATTAATAAAACACATTTTTGACACTAGTTTAAATCATGTTATAATGAAAACAATAATAATAAAAAAACACGAACTCACCAAAGAAATCATTCAACATCAAAGCGAAAAACCAGGAAAACTCCAGGTGGCACTCGTGTGCAGATTTCACTCACAGATACAAATCTTGTTTTTTTTCTCTCAATCCTTCATTAAAGATATATGATAGAAATCATTTCAGCATCTTATTAATGGTCAGTTTTCACAGTTAATACACATTTAAAACATTAAAAGATATATATCTAATAGTTTTCTACTGTTATTAATTTAAAAACTTACATCTCTGCATTCCCTTGCGAACACTGAATCACCATAGCAACGGTAAACACAAGCTAACAGACAAGAGAGATTTGTTATTGTTTGTAAATCTGATCTGCTATAGTGTAAGGCACGATGATGTTATTCTAAAGCACTATTCCCTTGAATGCTGTTTAATACTCTATTATGATTTATTTATATAAATAAATAATTTTAATATATATTATTTAATCGAGTATTCTGCCAATGTTTTTTTTTTCATATTTATAAGGGTATTTCTATTTGCTCTATTGCTGTGTACTACCCACTAGTAACCTGGGTTACAATTTACTATATATAAATCAGTTGACATTATTAAGGCATTTATTGGGTACAATTGCTACTTTTTACTGTCATTCATTGTGTTTTGGTCATTATCAATGCACTGTCACTTTAATTGAGCGTGAGCAGCGCGTCAAAAATAGACCCGGCGCCAAAACTATCGCTGCACTGCTGCTTCAGCGACGCTCACGCCTCGCGCCGACGCGCTGCTGCTGCGTGCGATATAAAAGCTCTAATCTGTTAACATGGACGCCGAAAAAACACGCGCTGCTGGCGCTTGCGGTGTGAAACAGCCGTTAGTCTTAACACTAAAAGAAAAAAACTGTGGATACGATACTTCCAAACGCAGTTTCATCTAAGACAGTGGGGGGGAAGCAAAATTTACTATGCTTTCTACTCAGTTACTTTGCACATGCATAAAGAGGCTCTTGTACGACAAATCCAAAAGGTGTGTTCTTAACAATAGGTGGCAGTCACTTTTGCCCTAAACCACAGGTTGCCTTCGAGTCATTCCTTAAGTCCACTCGGTCTTGCACCGTTTTATAATCTTCCTTATTTAAAACAGCTCAATTAAGTCATCGGCTTCATTGTAGAGTACCCCTAGTATCTGAGCCTGCACTGCGCAATGAAAGAAAGAAGCAAAACGGGATGGACAGATGCCTGAAATGTTGGAAACGCACCACACCTTAAGTCAGTGAAGAAAAAGGGCAAAGCTTGCAACTCTTGTGGGACTCGAACCTACAACCTTTGAATGGCTCAGCTCACAGCCTAGAAGTCCAATGCGCTATCCATTGCACCACAGAGCCTGCACCAAAAAAAGCACTTTTTGGGACTCTCTGGCCCATGAAAGAACAGCCAACTGCAGACAAAGTACTGCTGGGATTTGAACTCAGGATCTCCTGTTTACCAGACAGGCGCTTTGACCAACTAAGCCACAGGGTCAAACGATGTTGACAAGGGCTAATTGTTTAATCGAAAAAAGAAAAGAAAAAAACTAACAATGGTAGCGCTGCATGTGTGAATGTCTGGACTTGAAATATTAAAGTCCAATTGGTTAGGCATTACCACATTATGCTATATAAAGCCATCGTCCGAAGTCCTCTTGAACGAGTAGCGTTCTTAAGGATTTGAGTTTTGTTTAGAAACCGACTGCTAAACATCCCGCTGCGTAAACACTCGTAACTCTTAAGAAAAAGCAACCCTGGCACATGTACATTAGGCACTGCTGGGAGTTGAACCCAGGATCTCCTGTTAATAAGACAGGCGCTTTGACCAACTAAGCCACAGCACCAAAGCTGAAAAGAAGGCTAGACGGTTTTGCACACAGAGACTAAAAAAAGACAGCAAGTCTAAAATGGCAATCAAAGAGGTTGTTTAACTCTATTTGTCGCACTATTCATTAGGCCTCAAAGCTATACAATTTTATTATGCATTCGGGTAAGCTCTATAAAACAAGCGCATTCACCACCTGGATCAATTTAGCCCAGGATCAATCAAGCCCAGGATCTCCTGTTTACAAGAGAGGCGCGTCGACCAGCTAAGCCACAGCACCACAATGAATGACCGTAAGAGACATTTGCCCGATAACAAAAATCGAAGAAGAATAAACCAATACACAACAAAAACCAGCATGTCAAGATGCAGAAAATGCCGACAAGATGGACATGGTCTTTTAGAGTCTGGATGATCATGTCTCAAACCTGACCAGTAACCTGGCCTCCGTTCAAGATCAAAGCAAAAAATGCATTGATTTATTTTTATTTAATCTACCCTTAATCAAGTGTCAAGTGTTTTTTGGAATCTACAGTTTCATTACATCCAAACCCAGAGTCAGCTCGGAAAATGGAAATCTGAGGGAAAGGTGCAATTTGGATTTGAACCTAGGACCTGCTGTTCCCAAGACAGGTGCTCTGGCCAACTTAGTCTTAACACTAAAAAAAAAACCTCTGGATACGATACTTCCAAACGCAGTTTCATCTAAGACAGTGGGGGAAAAGCAAAATTTACTATGCTTTCTACTTAGTTACTTTGCACATGCATAAAGAGGCTCTTGTACGACAATTCCAAAAGGCGTGATCTCAACAATAGGTGGTAGACACTTTTGCCCAAAACCACAGGTTGCCTTTGAGTCATTCCTTAAGCTTACTTGGCCCTGCACCGTTTTCTAATCTCCCTTATTTAAAACAGCTCAATTAAGTCATCGGCTTCATTGTAGAGTACCCCTAGTATCTGAGCCTGCACTGCGCAATGAAATTAAAAAGCAGAACAGGATGGACAGATGCCAAAAATGTTGGAAACGCACCACTCCTAAGTCAGTAAAGAAAAAGGGCAAAGCTTGCAACGCTGGTGGGACTTGAACTCAAAACCTTTAAATGACTCAGTTCGCAGCCAAGAAGTCCAATGCACTATCCATTGTCTTAGATGAAATGATTTCCATTTTCCGAGCAGACAGAGGGTTTGGATGTAATGAAACTGGATATTCCAAAAAACACTTAACACATGATTAAGGGTAGATTAAATAAAAATAAAATAATGCATTTTTTGCTTTGATCTTGAACAGAGGCCAGGTTACCGGTCAAGTTTGAGACATGATCATCCAGACTCTAAAAGACCACGTCCGTCTTGTCAGCATTTTCTGCATCCTGACATGCTGGTTTTTGTTGTGTATTTTTTTCTTCTTCTATTTTTGTTATCGGGCAAATGTCTCTTACAATTAATTTTTGTGGCGCTGTGGCTTAGCTGGTCAAAATGCCTGTCTTGTAAACAGGAGATCCTGGGCTTAAATCCCAGCAGCGCCTTAGTTCAGGTGGTGCGTGTGCTTTTTTTTATAGAGATTAACGAAATTAATTATAAAACTGTATAGCTTTGAGGCATAATGGATAGTGCGACAAATTGAGTTACATATGAGAGCTCATCTGATTCACAACTAGTTGACTGCACACCCATGTTTTTAAGTTGTTTATCTCCCCCTCCATATTCTCCATTCCTCAAACCTATTGAGGACCTTTTTCCTGCCTGGAGATGAAAAGTGTATGACCGAAATCCAAACACACGTATACCCCTTCTCCAAGCTATAGCAGTTGATGCTTTTCATGGCTGGATTTGCCATGCAAGGTGACATTTCCCCCACTGCTTGGCCACACCAATACAGAAAAGAGAATGCAGTATAGCTGTTTTTTTTTTTTACTGTAACTGTATTTATTAAATACTTTTGTTGATGGTATATGTAGACCACATTTTCTGCAACTTTGTGTTGGTTGGGATGAACACTGTACACTGTTTTTGTGGGGAAAATACAGTAAAATATATTTGGTATTTGTTTGTTTTGTATAAAAACAATTTTCGAAAAATTTTACAATGCACTTCTGTAGTTCTATGTACTGTCTGTAGTAAGTGTAACACTGAACAGAAGAAGGCTTACAGAAAGTCATTATGATGAATAGAGAAGTCGTCATAGTGTTTTACATTAAGCACATTAGTGTTTAACTTATCTTATGAATGTCTGTTAATGTGATGGCTTGTGTGTGTCATTTGAAAACAAAATACCATTTTGAGAAGAAATCACATTGTTTTGAACTTATAGTTTCATTTAGCAGAAGAATTGAAGAGTTTTGCCAAATGTGTGTGTGTTTTGTGATTTGTGTGTAGAGTTCTGACAATATGAAACATGCTTTCAGAAATTGTGTGTAAACAACTGGAAAAAACTGGAAACAACCTCTTTGGTTGTCATTTTAAGACCTCCAGGAACAGGTTTAGTGACCCCTGGCTTAAAAGCATAGTTCATTCAGACAGCAACTTTACAGGGCAACACTATCTGCTGACGAACTGGCATTCTCAGAAAATAGGCCTCTGTGTAAGCCACAACGCCCTTACAAAACAGCAGACAACTGTAAGGGCTCAACCGAAATTTGAATCTGGGATTTATCATGGCATGAACGAGAATCATACTCGTAGACAACCATGCCACTATGCAAAGGAATGTTTTATGTGCCGACACTATCTGCTGACAAACTGGAATTCTTCGAAAAACGTTTTTTATGAAAGCCATAATGCCCTGTAAAACAACAGAGAAACTGCAAGGACTCGTCCAGGATTTGAACCCGGGACCTATCATACCCAAAGCGAGAATCATACCCCTAGACCAACAAGCCACAATAGTTTGCATATTTCACAAGACATCAGAAGCAACAGATGGTCAGAAATCCTTATCTAACAAACATTGAAGCAGGGCTTTTGCTTCTTTTGAACCCGGGACTTCTGCAATGGTTCGTCCAGGATTTGAAAACGGGACCTCTCGCACCTTATGCGAGAATCAAGCCCGTAGACCATCGAGCAACTGCAAAACAGCCACTTTACATAGCAACACTATCTGCTGACAAACCGGCATTCTCAGAAAAAAGGCCTCTGTGTAAGCCACAACGCCCTTACAAACAAAAGACAACTGTAAGGGTTCAACTGAAATTTGAACCTAGGATTTTTCATGGCATGAACGATAATTATACTCCTAGACCAGCAAGCCACTATGCAAGAAATATTTTATGTGGCGACACTATCTGCTGACAAATTGGAATTCTTTGAAAGACGTTTTTACGAAAGACATAAAGCCCTGTAAAACACAGTACACCTGCAAGGGCTCATCCAGGAATTGAACCCGGGTCCTCTCGCAACCGAAGCAAGAATCATACCCATAGACCAATGAGCCACTAAATTGAGACAATTTCACAAGGTGTCAGATAGTCAGAAATCTTTCTCTAACGAATCAAGGGCACCCTAAGTGAGAGACATACCCCTAGACCACCGAGCCACTGCAAAACAGCAACTTTATATGGCAACACTATCTGCTGACAAACTGGCATTCTCAGAAAAAAGGCCTCTGTGTAAGCCACAACGACCTTACAAAACAGCAGACAACTGTAAGGGCTCAACCGAAATTTGAATCTGGGATTTCTCATTGCATGAACGATAATCATATGCCTAGACCAGCAAGCCACTATGCAAAGGAATGTTTTATGTGGCGACACTATCTGCTGACAAACTGATATTCTTCGAAAGACATTTTAGTGAAAGACATAGTGCCCTGTAAAACACATGACACCTGCAAGGGCTCGTCCGGGATTTGAACCCGGGACTTCTCACACCCGGAGCGAGAATCATATCCCTAGACCAACGAGCCACTAAATTGAGAGAATTACACATGGCCTCAGAAGCATCAGATAGTCAGAAAACTTTCTCTAACGAATCAAGGGCACCCTAAGCGAGAATCATACCCCTAGACCAACGAGCCACTACAAAACAGTAACTTTATATGGCAACACTATCTGCTGACGAACTGGCATTCTCAGAAAAAAGGCCTCTGTGTAAGCCACAATGCCCTTACAAAACAGCAGACAACTGTAAGGGCTCAACCGAAATTTGAATCTGGGATTTCTCACGGCATGAACGAAAAGCATACTACTAGACAACCAAACCACTATGGAAAGGAATGTTTATGTGCCGACACTATCTGCTGACAAACTGGAATTCTTCGTAAATTGTTTTTTTATGAAAGCCATAATGCCCTGTAAAACAACAGAATAACTGCAAGGGCTCGTCCGGGATTTGAACCCTGGACCTCTCGCACCCTAAGCGAGAATCATACCCCTAGACCAACGAGCCACAAAAGCTTGAATATTTCACAAGACATCAGAAGCAACAGATGGTCAGAAATCCTTATCTTACAAACATTGAAGCAGGGCTTTTGCTTCATTTGGACCCGGGACTTCTGCAATGGTTCGTCCAGGCTTTGAAAACGGGACCTCTCACACCTTATGCGAGAATCAAGCCCGTAGACCAACAAGCAACTGCAAAACAGCCACTTTACATGGCAACACTATCTGCTGACAAACCGGCATTCTCAGAAAAAAGACCTCTGTGTAAGCCACAACGACCTTACAAAACAAAAGACAACTGTAAGGGTTCAACTGAAATTTGAACCTAGGATTTTTCATGGCATGAACTAGAATCATACTCCTAGACCAGCAAGCCACTATGCAAGAAATATTTTATGTGGCGACACTATCTGCTGACAAATTGGAATTCTTTGAAAGATGTTTTTACGAAAGACATATTGCCCTGTAAAACACAGTACACCTACAAGGGCTCATCCTTGTATTGAACCCGGGACCTCTAGCAACCGAAGCGAGAATCATACCCATAGACCAATGAGCCACTAAATCGAGACAATTTCACAAGGCGTCAGATAGTCAGAAATCTTTCTCTAACGAATCAAGGGCACCCTAAGTGAGAGTCATACCCCTAGACCACCGAGCCACTGCAAAACAGCAACTTTATATGGCAACACTATCTGCTGACAAACTGGCATTCTCAGAAAAAAGGCCTCTGTGTAAGCCACAACGACCTTACAAAACAGCAGACAACTGTAAGGGCTCAACCGAAATTTGAATCTGGGATTTCTCATTGCATGAACGAAAATCATACGCCTAGACCAGCAAGACACTATGCAAAGGAATGTTTTATGTGGCGACACTATCTGCTGACAAACTGGAATTCTTCGAAAGACATTTTAATGAAAGACATAGTGCCCTGTAAAACACATGACACCTGCAAGGGCTCGTCCGGGATTTGAACCCGGGACCTCTCACACCCGAAGCGAGAATCATACCCCTAGACCAACGAGCCACAGCAAAACAGTAACTTTATATGGCAACACTATCTGCTGACGAACTGGCATTCTCAGAAAAAAGGCCTCTGTGTAAGCCACAATGCCCTTACAAAACAGCAGACAACTGTAAGGGCTCAACCGAAATTTGAATCTGGGATTTCTCACGGCATGAACGAAAAGCATACTGCTAGACAACCAAACCACTATGGAAAGGAATGTTTATGTGCCGACACTATCTGCTGACAAACTGGAATTCTTCGTAAATTGTTTTTTTATGAAAGCCATAATGCCCTGTAAAACAACAGAATAACTGCAAGGGCTCGTCCGGGATTTGAACCCGGGACCTCTCGCACCCTAAGCGAGAATCATACCCCTAGACCAACGAGCCACAAAAGCTTGAATATTTCACAAGACATCAGAAGCAACAGATGGTCAGAAATCCTTATCTTACAAACATTTAAGAAGGGCTTTTGCTTCATTTGGACCCGGGACTTCTGCAATGGTTCGTCCAGGCTTTGAAAACGGGACCTCTCGCACCTTATGCGAGAATCAAGCCCGTAGACCAACGAGCACCTGCAAAACAGCCACTTTACATGGCAACACTATCTGCTGACAAACCGGCATTCTCAGAAAAAAGGCCTCTGTGTAAGCCACAACGCCCATACAAAACAAAAGACAACTGTAAGGGTTCAACTGAAATTTGAAGCTAGGATTTCTCATGGCATGAAGGAGAATCATACTCCTAGACCAGCAAGCCACTATGCAAAGGAATGTTTTATGTGGCGACACTATCTGCTGACAAACTGGAATTCTTCGAAAGAGATTTTAATGATAGACATAGTGCCCTATAAAACACATAACATCTGCAAGGGCTCGTCTGGGATTGGGACCCAGGACCTTTCACACCCAAAGTGCGAATCATACCCCTAGACCAACGAGCCACTAAATTGAATTTATTTCACATGGTGTCAGAAGCATCAGATAGTCAGAAAACTTTCTCTAACGAATCAAGGGCACCCTAAGCGAGAATCATACCCCTAGATCAACGAGCCACTGCAAAACAGTAACTTTATATGGCAACACTATCAGCTGACGAACTGGCATTCTCAGAAAAAAGGCCTCTGTGTAAGCCACAACGCCCTTACAAAACAGCAGACAACTGTAAGGGCTCAACCGAAATTTGAATCTGGGATTTCTCACAGCATGAACGAGAATCATAGTCCTAGACAACCAAACCACTATGCAAAGGAATGTTTTATGCGTCGACACTATCTGCTGACAAACTGGAATTCTTCGAAATACATTTTTTTGTCTTTATTTTAACAAAACAAAAAAGAACAGAACAATGACAACAGCTTACAACCAAGAAATTTCTTAGCATCACAGCACATAATGAAAATCAAAATCAAAAAGAAGACATAAAAATACAGAGTAATAATAAAAATAGAAAAGTACATAAATTAACCAAAGTTTATGGTGATCTAAGGTTTTGCAAAAATGTACCTGAAATCCTAGGACCTACATATTCAAGCAACGGAGTCCAGATCTGATAAAAAGTGTTTTTCTATGGAGAGAGATTAGACTCAATAATAATTCACGCAAAAGACACGATGTACACATGCGTAGCCAAATTCACATGCGTAAAATATTTATTTATACTCACAAAAACAATTCACATGCACAAAATAAAAATACATTTTCATAAAATACATTTCACAAATGCAAAACACCATTTGCAAATATATAAGAGTGTACAAAAAGTTTTGAATGTTTAAAATTCACGAGTTCATCCTGAATGAGAATGTGCAAATCCTCTCTCACGTACGACTCACCCTGAATACGAGTGTGTGCATTTTTGAGACTTTCCTGTCAGCACACACCTCCCACGTGAGTCACTCGTGCCCTGTAGCCAATAAGATGCGAGCTTACTGTTCAACCAATCACAACTCCCTGAGAACGCGGGAATGACCGAAGCGCTTCACTGTGCGCTCCATTTGCGCAGTCTGACCTAATTAACGGAGATGATCCTCTAAGAAGAAGAATACTCCTCTATTTAGCATGGCAGGTGAAGAGCGGGATGCGCGGGTAAGTGGTTACTTGATTTCTATAGTGGTTTATGTATGCAAAGATTAAGTATCAAACGTTTGTTAAAGCAATGGCTGCTGTTGTTTATAATGTAAACTTTATAACGTAAATTAAGTCCGTTATTAAGCCAACATGGCGAGTGAAAAACGGGATGGTCGTGTAAAATAGCATGGCTTCTGTCATGGTCGATTCTAGGATTGTCATTCAAGGAGGGGTCAGCTATAAATTTGATCGGGGACTAATTTGGGGGTGGAATCGATCGCGTACTAAAGTGAAGACCGGGAGAGCGTAATGCCGTTTTGGGTGTGGGTGGGTATGGGGGGTGGAGAGAGGAGATGATCGCCGACTGTAAGGAACGGGCGGGGTGGGGGTCGGCAGTGTTGATCGCGGACTATGAAGATAACAAATGATAAAAGGTATAATTGGTATTTGTCTTACAGGCACTGTCATTAGAAGTAGAAATAGCAGCAAAAGCTCTGATCGATGTATTAGCCAGGGGCCTTACTCCATCTTCGTAAAGAAATGCACTAGCAAGTGGTAGTAGACCAATGAGAGAAAGCATCTCAAGTGGGACCATTCCTTTGCCTGCAGAGCCTGAAAACATGGTAAGGCAAGCCTTAAAAAGGTAATTTTTCATGTTTACTGTAAAACACAACTTTTTGTGTCATGCAAAAAATGTTTCTTATTATTAATATGTTTATTCATTTTGCCCTTTTGTCACTATGGGCAATTCCCAAGTATGTTTGGGACAGAGATTTTTCTGTGGCCAAACCTGGAAACATTTAAAAAACTGATTTTCAAATACATGTCCTCTCTAAACCATCACCCTTCACACCAAAAGGAGATGAAGACCTTGAGCTTGTCCATGCTGGACTTGGAAAAAGGCTTTTAACTGTTCCAGATAATTTTAAACACAGTGAGGTAATTGCAAATGTTACCATAATACTAGGAATTGATGGGAGTTTTATATCTGTTGGAAAAAAAAAAAAACTAAATGATGAATTTTGTTTCATTCTTAAGATTGTCAGTCTGCTTGAAGGAGAGTTTCCCAAATTAAAAACACTTCAGGGTGGCTGGATGTTTTACAAGTCTACAGGTATTTATGTTTTGCATGTTACATATAAACAAAAAATGATTTGTGTGCATTTGCAATAACTTTGCACTTTTGTAAATTAATGAAACTGGTATGTGCTTTGTTGGCGTTAATAATTTAGTAATAAGCTTCATTAGTTTAAACTTTTTAGTCAAGGACATGTTTCTTTGCCATGTTCTAAGATTATGGCATGCCCTACTTCAGTTTTCCAGTGGTAAACAGAGCTTTATAGAACATTTCTGTCCAAAATTTTAGGTGACACATTTATAACAATATTGCTAGCCCAAGAAGGCAACAGTAGTCCTGAATGTGATTCTCAATTGATTTTGCCATTAGGTGGGGGTGGGGGTGGGCGGCGTAAGCTGTCTATAATTCCCACAGATGCTGATGGATACTCAACTCGACTCCTAAAATCAGTGTCAAATAATGGAAAGAACATGCTGTTTGTAGTTCCATTACAGGAACAGCTTTCCACTGAACCATTACCTTATGATTCTGTGGAGTTTGCTAAGATGCCACAGTCCAGCTGTATGAAATGTGGTAAGAAAATACCACTGCCATTGCTGCCCTTACACATTGAAGAGTGTAAAGAAGCTGAGACAGTAAGTCATACAGTATTATGGTTTTATTGTTCTATCAATATTATTTATTTACAATGCCAATGCATTTTGATTACTTTTATTAGGAGTCTTCAAATGATTTGACCATTCTAGATGATGATGTAGACGAAAATGTAATCGAAACTGTTGACCAGCCAAGCCCACTTCACCCCATCTTAGAACCATCATTACAGGTCTTTGATCAAAGCCTATTTCTTGTATTTGAGTATACTCACTATATTTGAATATACCCAATTCGTGGTTCCATAAAGAATGTGTTTGAAGCTATTAAAAATTTGAGACTATTCTTAATATTTTAGAATCTTTTTATGGGGTAGAATATGTATGTTCTTCAACAAATTTGCTACAAACATACATTGTTTAATTTATTTTTACTTTTTACAGATTTGTCCAATTTGCCAGATCTCTTTCCCAACTGATGTCTTGCCTTTTCATGCAAGCATGTGTGGTGAAGGGTAAAGTTATGCTAAAAATTGTAGGGTGACATGCCTTTAATACTAAAGGATTAGTTTGCACAGTTTGTTTTGGTTGTATATATCTCGAGGGAGATGTACAAAGATCAGATGGAATGTAGGGTAAAAAATTAACAAAATAATTTTCTGGTGGACTGTCTTAAATTTAAATTAATGTGTTGGTTTCATAAACTGGGTCAGTAGTAGACATTATTAGATTTGATGTATGTAGCTTTTATAAGCCTTGCTTTGAGAAAATCATTACTGGTGACTTTTGACATTAATGGCTATATACAGTATGTCATTGTAAGTTACATCCAGACTTTGTCTGGCACTAGGGTCTAAGCCTTGTCTATGAAACTGGGCAAATGCTTTTAATATGCATGAACATTTTTGAAGTGGCTTAATGAACAAAATTGAAATTGTTTGTGTCTTGCCTGTTTTAGAGAAAGGACTTTTGGTGACAATGATTCTTCATTCACTTTAAATACAGAAGAATTGCCAGGACCCTCAACTGCACAATCTTCAACATCATTGTCTGCAGGTTAGACACAACACATTTTTTTTTTTTCAAGAGTTCACACTTAGCTGATAATCAATAAAGCGTATTTGGCATGTTGTCCCGGGAGAGAGCCCTGAGCTCGTAATATCCCCGGGGCTCCCTCCCGTTAGAAGGGCGAGAGGGGAATTCGAGGTCAGGTAGGTCTCGAGAACTCCCCTGCTTGTCACCGTGAGAAGTGTAAACTCAGGTTGTATTGGGTGATAATTTGTTTTAGTCGATTGCTATGGTTTATGTTTTTGGACGGTGGGAGGAAACCGGGGAACCCGGGGAAAACCCACGCGAACACGGGGAGAACATGCAAACTCCACACAGAAACACCAACCAGCCCGATGGGTTGGACTAGCGGTGTTCTTACTGTGAGGCAACAGTGCTAGCCACTGGGCCACTGTGTCGCCCGATCAGAAAAAGTGGGAGGATGTAGGGGTGGAAGGGGGGGAGCTTCAAGACGAAGATAACTGGAGTGGAAAACTAAGGTTATTTATAATGCTTCCGTAATCATCTAATAGGGCTTATTACGAAGCTAACAAGGAGCCAGCCGTGTTGATAATAAGCACGTGATCCTCTCGAAATTAGTTTATGAATAAACCACACTTCAAGAGTTCACACTTAGCTGATAATCAATAAAGCGTATTTGGCATGCTGTCCCGGGAGAGAGCCCTGAGCTCGTAATATCCTCGAGCCCGGGGCTCCCTCCCGTTAGAAGGGCGAGAGGGGAATTCGAGGTCAGGTAGGTCTCGAGAACTCCCCAAAAGGCAAAGGTTTTCATCTCGGGACAGCAGCCGCGTATTGAAGTGCCCCCCAAAAGGCGAGAGGTCAGTGCCATATCCGGCTGCTGAATGTGAATTGAAGTGAGATAGGTTACTGCAGGAGAAAAGTTGAAACTGATTCTTAGGAGAGGCTGGGGACTCTGTTGGAGTTGGGTTCGGGGAGGCAGGGTTGGGGAGCCTAACGGAAGAAAGGAGAGTAGCAGAGGGATTTGGTGCTAGAAATAGGAAAGTAGCAGAGTAACTCGACGCTGAAAGAAGAAAAGTAGCGGAGGAACTCAACGCTGGGAAAGGAGAATGTAGTGGGTAGGGGAGAGGGGTTGTAGAGGGGGTGGAGAGAAGAGCGGAAGCATTCGACGCTGTAAGGAAGTAAAGAGGATGCGGAGGAACTCAACGCTGGGAAGAAGAGAGCATGAGATGCGGCGGAACTCGACGCTGGAAAGGTAAAGAAAAGAAACCTATGGGGATCAGAGCTCTGGGTCAACTCCGTGGGAGTTAGAGCTGTAGGATTGGACTACTACAGGAGTCTGGGAAGGGAGGGAGAGGTGGAGACTCCTGTAGGTGGTGGGCTGAGCAGGACTCCGGGGGAGTCAGAACGTGGGAAGACTCCTTGGGAGTCAGATTGGTGAGTGATGTTTTTGAAATATAGAAAGAGTAGCGGAGGAACTCAATGCTGAAAATAGTAAAGTAGCGGAGAAACTCAACGCTGAAGAAAGAAAGTAGCGGAGAAACTCAACGCTGAAAGGGGGATTGGGAGTTAAGGGTGGGGAGAGGAGAGAAGTTGTAAGAGGGGGGAGAGGAAAGAGCGGAAGCATTCGACGCTGGAAGGAAGAGAAAGAGATGCGGAGGAACTCAACGCTAGGGAATATAGGACAGGAGATGCGGAGGAACTCAACGCTAGAAGGTAGGAAAGATGCGTATTTGGCCGGGGCGAGAGAGAGAGGGGAGGGGGGACTCCGTGGGAGTCTTAGCTCTTGGGGTAACTCTGTGGGAGTTAGAGCTGAAAGATTAGGCTCCTACAGGAGTCTAAATGGGGAGGGGGTGGTGGAGACTCCTATAGGAGGTGGGCTGGGCAGGACTCCGGGGGAGTCTAAGCTTAGACTGGAAAGGTAAGAGTAGCGGAATACTCAACGCTAGAAGGAAGTGATAGTAGCGGAGCAACTCGACGCTGAAAAAGAAAAGAAGCGGAGAAACTCGACGCTGGAAAGGGGGTAGGGAGTAAAAGATATTTAGGAGGTGGGGGGAGAGTGGGAGGGGATGGAGGAAAGAGCGGAAGCATTCGACGCTTGAAGGAAGGAAAGGAGTTGCGGAGGAACTCAACGCTTTAGAACATAGAATAGGAGATGCGGAGGAACTCAACGCTAGAAAACAAGAAAGTTGTCGATTGTGGAGGGGGGGGGGGGGGGGGGGGGTAATTGATTGACTCCGGGGGAGTCAGGCCTTGAATGGTGATACTTAGGCTGAAGAGATGAGAGTAGCGGAAGAACAACACTAGAAGGAAGAGATAGTAGCGGAGCAACTCAACGCTGAAAAGAGAAAAGTAGCGGAGAAACTCGACGCTGGAAAGGGGTAGGGAGTAAAAGATGTTGAGGTGGTGGGGGGAGAGTGGGAGGGGATGGAGGAAAGAGCGGAAGCATTCGACGCTTGAAGGAAGGAATGGAGGTGCGGAGGAACTCAACGCTAGAAAGGAGAAGAAGGAGGTGCGGAGAAACTCGACGCAGGAAGGAAGTGAAGACTGAAAAGATTTTATACTGGTAGCCTTGGGGAAAAAAGTTTTGCTCCTGTTGGGGTCGGGGTTCAGGCACTCTTGGGAGAGAGATAGGGGGAGATTATTTGCTGAACTGGGAGCGCTGAAAGAGGCGGGGGGGATGGGGGGGGTTGGGGAACAGGCAGAATTAAATTTCTGTCCTTGTATTCAAGATAGAGGATGTCGTGAGTGCGAGCTGTGAGGATGAATTGATATCCTCTCCAAATGTATACATGCATCACGCTGAGGCTGTTACGTGTAATTGAGCTAGACGATAATAACGAGTAAACGCTTTTATGGAGGCGTTTAAACTGTTGTGAAGTGTCAATAGTGGTATGTTGAATGGAAGTGTATGTGAGCTTAGGCAGAGCGTCACTGCTGCGACAGTGAAGCGGGGGGGGGAAAGAAGCTCTGCAGCTTCTCTGCTGTTGCAGAGGTGTGGTGGAAGTCAATGTCGGGAGGCGGGTACGCTTTCCCGAAAATGTATAACTGCTGTGCAGTGTTGGGGAGTGGGAAGGAAAGGAGCTGCGCTGTGACAGTGGTGCAATGGGAGAATAAGGCTTGGCTGAGCATCTCTACTGTTGCAGGTACGGTGGTAGTCAGTATTGGAGCATTATAGGTGCTCCCACAAAAATATTAAATATCAGAAGGGATGTGTGGAGATGAAAGTAAGTAGGGGCTCAGGTAGAGTGTCACTGCGGTTGTTGTGATGCTATGGTGAGTGTAGCTCAGCGGAGCGCTACTGCTATTGGATAGGTGCAGTAGTGATTGGTATTGGAGAGTTTTGAATGCTCTCGCAAGAATATTAAATACTGTTAGTAGTGATATGTAGAGAGGAAGTGAATAAGGGCTTAGCTACAGGTGCAATGGGTGAGTATGGCACAGTGGAGCGGTTCTGCTGCTGCAGAGAATCAGTATGGAGACAATGTGTGCTCCTGCAGAAGCATTTACTGCTGTATTAGTGCAGGGCAGTGTGACGAGTGTTATTGGACTTGTAAGTGTATAGAGCTTGCTTAGAGCATCCCTGCTGCAGTAATAGAAAAATTTAGGCAACCCCTAAATAAGTTGGAACTGTGGTGAGTGAAAATGTATGGGTGTATGGGATAGTTTAAGTTGTGCTTACACTTAAAACATTTGAATTGTGTGAGTGGGGGAAGGGATGTCGAAAATGTATATAGGACATGCTTTGCCGAAATAATCGGTTTGCTTGCTTAATGGAGAGAGATAGTGTTCCTCCAGTCAGATCAGATAAGGTGAGGTGGATTGTGGGATTGCAACTGATGGTAATTCAGAGAATCTCAAAACCCGAAGACTAGTGTGAATATGGCATTATGGATGTGGGCTGTATGATTGGAAATGCATCCTTGTGTAGATTGTGATTGCATTTGGAATGGATGTGGAGTGTAATAGGTTGGATGAAGGTCAGCTTCTGGGCCGGCTGTCCTAATGTCTGGAATGAGAAACAAGAAAAAAATCAGAAATTTAATTTACAACATGATACATGTATAGCAGACATGACAAAATTGTTTTAGCTGATATCTAATGCAAGGCATCTTAATAAGAGCATGGACAATTGTGAGCTTCGTTGTCGCAGTCTGCGAGGATGATCGAGGTGGGCATTTGTTCCCCCGCAGGATAGCAGGTGGATGCAGAGCTGGGGATATGGGGTGTAGCTTGTCTGGTGGTCCTAGAAATTCTTCTTGAAGATTTATTTAAATGTCCTATTCATGCAGTCAAGCGAAAAGTTAGTTTCTTTACCATTTTCACCTCCAGCCGGCGTGCCATTATAAGTTACATATGGCACTGTATATGCAAGTATGGGTCATTGACGTATTACGATTGGACTTTTGTGTTAAATTCTCACTGGTTGGGTAGTAGTCTTTACAGAAGTTAAATGCTATCAGATCTGGCAGAGGTTTTTTATTTATTTTATTTATTTATTATTTTATTATTATTTATTATTATTATTATTATTATTATTAATTTATTCATTTATTATTATTATTATTATTAGTCAATTTATTTATTTATTATATCAAATCCCAACATCAAACGCTTAATTCACTACTTAGTGGAAACTGTATGAATGGAATGTTTGTTATGGGCTTTACTTAATTTGTTTAAATACATGTTAGGAATCTTAACTTCTAAAATTCTTAATCTTAACTTAATTTGCAAGCATGTCTGTCTCAGTTCATTCATGAGTCTTTTATGGCTGGGTTCATTCATGAATTGTTGAGAGGGCGGAACCATATCGAGTTTTAAAAGCGCATTGGATGAGGGCGCTGCTCCTTCGCTATTGGCTCGATGGGGCGTCAATCAAGATCGGAGGCCAAGTTTGTTTACCAGTGTTGTGTGAAGACACTGCGGCACACCAGCGACTAGTTTGGATGATAACAGCGCGGTCCATCGACGTATCAATATGTCGTGGATTAATGTCGTGATCTTTGCAGTGATTTACTTATGGATTTGTGGACGGGCTTGAAGGGTGAGTTCTTATGAATCTTCTAATCACGCAAGTCTTGTT